TAAATCACATTTTAGAATTTATTTGCAAGTAAATCTTAACATAATAAAGCTTTGTCAAACACCAGATTTTCCAGTTCATTGCAAGTCTTTCATACAACCAGCTGTTTAAATATATAATTAAATTAGAATGCATTATGTACAACCAACTTATAGATAATAAACCAACGATAAAGCTGGTTGTACACAAATCCTGCAATGGAATGGGTTGGGAGATCATTGTTTGACTAATTCCAATAAAATATTTCTGTCAAACAGATATTAGTTCTTTGTCTAAAAAAACAGTTTTTATTCAATTCATATTATAGGTCTTAAAATCAGCCCTCTGTCATATAGTCTCGAAAGAAGCTATTTTATTTATGCTCACATTAATTAAAAACTAACACTCAAAACCCACGCCCCCACCCCAACAAAAAGCCTGACACTCTAACAAGGCTTTCTTACATCCTTGCAATCACAGACCGAAGCCCAGAACGCAAGAATCAGAGGGTCAGTCTCGGTGGAATGAGTCCTGGCTACCTGTAATAACCCGTTGTCAAAATGTCAGGCTCTCACTGAAAAGTTAGTCAATATTAAAAGGTGGCAATACCAAGACCCTCCGCCTGACAAATTGCGGATGAAGAATCAAAATGCTTTTTGAAAAAAATGCAGAGCATGCCTCATTCCTCGAATTCCTGAACTGTCAGCTTGCTATCTCCCTTTCTCATGTGAGATACTACTAGAACGACCACTTCTTGAGGCAAAGAAAAAAAAAACAGACAAGATTTGAAGAATTGAAGTACAGACACGGCATTCTATTCACGTTTTACTTTTTGTTTTTAAATCTATCACGTGTTTTTTTAAGCATGCTTCTGAAAAATAAAATCACAGATTCTGCAAGGGAGTGAGATATGATGTAAAAGATCCACTGTTCAAAATTGTAACTAGCAAATTATACAAGCTAACGTACTGATTTTTACTTTTACATTGTGGAAACTGAATAAAACCATACATCACTCTCACTTCAATATGGGAAAGGTAAACATGCAAACATGCACCTGGAAAAATTCAAAGATTTCTCCACTCGATTCTCCTTTTATCCTGGGGGGAAGGCAGGTGAGATATTTTTAGGGAAAAAATGTGAGACAGGTTACGGCAGCTCTCTCCTTAGTGAATCTGTGCATCTGCTTGTCTCAGGTACCTCTGACATTCCTGATGCCTCCTGCCAAAACCACAGCTAAAAAAGAACTTGCATTACAACGCCACATGCACATACACACACACCGATGTGTTATTACTCCACAGGAACAACTGGTACTGAAAGAGCTAAATCTGTCCACATTTCAGAAAGCAGCAAGCTTCTATCGCTGGGCTATCACATGCCAGTGGGTATAACTATAACAAGTAATTATAATAACTAATAAGTATAACTGGAGTAGATACCTTACAAAGCAGAAGTCAGTGTCACTGAAGACTGTTTCAAAAATCTGAAAAATCAAAATACTTCCTATTTGCAGCCATAAAAAAAGATCTGAAACAGTGAGGCCTACATACAGTAACGTAACCTCTGACAATAGAAGTGAAGGCACAATCGTATCGTGCGTGTATCACTTATTTAGAAGAAAGCATGTAAATCATTTTTAAATACTAGTGATAGACACCTTAGTGATTTTTTAAAATATTTCCCCGGCTTTCATAAGCTGTCTTGTATTTTTATTTGCAATTGCTTCATTACATACCTCTATTTGTACACATTTTTGTTTGCTAATTCTACTGAAAGTCAACAATTTGCTACCTAAAAACATCAGATGATCAACCATTTCATAAATGTGGTAAATCCTAAAGTCACTGCAGTGGATAACTGAATATCTTATTTTCACAGAAGTAAGGGTAAAGTGCAGAAGAAATAAAAACATTGCCAAAAATACTGATCATCTTACATTTCATGTAAGAGACACACGATAAAAGAAAATTGACAGATTTATATTATAGTCATTTTATAGTCACAGTCATTTTTACAATAAAGAAATATTAATAATAAGAATCAATTGTATAGTTGGCATAGAAAGTTTCTTCCCAATTACTTCATGGCCCAATAAATAGTTTGTCTGAAATACAGGAACATATTCCAAACATTTCCTTGGCTAAGCCTATTTAATAATAACTGAATGAATTCCAGTTACAGTACATAATTATTTCAAGTACAGAATTCAGCCCAATGAAAACCCATACAGGCCTTAAGAGAAAAGAGTACAGTTCTGCACAGCAGAAAGCAGGATTCATGAACCCGTACTAAATAAATCTAACACACAAATACAAGTTTGCTGGAGTTTTTAAAAGCTTACACTGAGCACAGAAATTACATTTTTTTATTTTTTGCCTTGTATCTTAGTAGAAGACATACAGTATACACTTCATACAGCCTAGTAGCACAAGGGTATCTCATATTGAGTGAGAATGCCATATACCACATCTGGAAAGGAAAAATGGGAAACCTTGCTTGCAATTTTGTAAATTAACTTTTCTATAGTCATAGACCACTCTATCATAAACTCTTTCTGCATTAGAAGAGAAAAGACAATAGAAATTTTGCAAGATACACTTTTGAAATGGTAAACCTGTACTGTACCCAAAATCCATGGACAATGAGGTTTATTCTCCGCAGTAAAGTCTTAGCTGTATATAATGAAAAAGGATATGTAGCTCAATAAATCAACCATGTGCATGTAAAATAAAACTTAACCACAATATTCTGTTTATTTCCAATGAATCTTCTCAGACTCAGCCATATCTCAGAATACAGGTCCCTTGACTAAATCCACTTAACTAAATACCTGTCAAAAGAATTTAAATTTGAATTTAAGTGACAAGATATTTTTATACGGAAGTAGTTCAGGTGGGTAGCTGCGTCAGCATGCGTAGGCTGCAAAGGAACAAGTAATAGGTTTATTCCATGCTGAAAAAAAGAAGAAAGAGAACACAACGTTTCGGCTGTGGAGCCTTCTTCAGTGTAGTGTAGATTTACGGAAGTGTAGATTTTAAGCCTAGGTTTCTTTGAATGTTTCTTTTTTGTTTCAGACAAGTGCACCGTTTTTTACACAAATGGCTTAAAGCTCACAGAACTCTACCACAATGTTGCAGGGGCTCTTTCACCCCCACCCATCTTTTTTAAACATCTAAAATAAAGGAGTAAATGAATTAATAAATTAATTTATTCATTTTGACATTATGAGGTGCTTTGCCAATTGTTTTTTATTTCCCAGAAGACAACAATGAAAGTTCAGAGTTATTTCAGCATCGCACATTCAAGGACAACAGTTAACCAGTCATCCAGTAAAAAGGAGGAACATTTGTTTGGTTTTTCTCACTGCTGAAGTGCTAAGCCCCACAACTAAACACAAAATGACACAAAGCCACTTCACGTTCAGCTCTTAACAGTCTGCGTTCTGAAAGGTTTTGCTGTGCAAAGCTTTTTCGGCCTGCCTGACAAAAAGAGGTATTTGGAGCCAAAAATGGGTTGCGGAGCTCTGAGAGTACTCTGTGAAGGATTTGGTCTGGCCTTTTTAAGCACCCAATAATTCAGTAATTACATTTCCCAAATAAACAAACAATCACATCTCAAACAGTACTGCTCGAATAGCTCTGCAAAAATAAAGACTGAAACGATACACTATTTATAGAGGAGTCACTCTATCTGCCAGTTACAACACGAGACAGAAAACGACAGACATTGCATGTGTACAGAGATCCGCTCTCACTGCACACCACACGAATGCTGTGAGGTGTGAGATGACCTTTGGCCGGGTACCCACTGCCCCTCTCCCAACAGGAGTTAGCAGCTGCACGGCCAGCAGAGAGAAGATCTGAGACTGGCTTCAAGGTGAGAGGTTTAAAATCCCGATGCTGATCCACTCATCCCTGGTCAGCTCTCTTTTCCTGAATGAGCAACTGAGCAATAGGTGCAGCTTCATGAGTTATGTCAGCTCCAGTCCTGCTGCGAGTGCCAACAGCTTCACACCTCCCGTGCGCCAAGGAACCCCCTTCGACTGCTAGCGTCCCATCATCCTCTGCCTGAGACCCCTACATTGTCATACTCTGCCTTTGGACAACACTAATCTCAACCATGCACTTTATCAAGCAGAAACCGCTGGGCAAAAGCTTAAGATAATCTGGGTCCTTCTACTCTTTTCATTCCACATTCCTGGCAGTTTGCAGAAACAATTCTATGGCGATCTTCTAACGAAATATTTTTGTTAAGAGATTAAAACCATTTTGTCTTACAAACTGTAGTTCTTTAGCTTTAAGGATCTGTAGGGAAGGACAAACATCATTGAACACCTGACAAGGATTGGTAATAGGCAGGTGATTAGCTAATAGAAGAGCTAATAGATCAGCTACAATACTTCATATTGCATAGTTTACATTTACTTGTTGTGATTGTGTTTCTAAAGATAGAACTCAACTGTTATTAATGCAACTGAGTGAGTGAGACAATACTCGACCACTTCCTAAATGACACCAAAGTTATTTGACAAGCTATCGATCAAATCACGTTGATCACACTGATCAAAACATTGCTAAATGACAAGGTTGGTGTCTTCTCTCTATAAATGAGCTGTATTAATAACAGGTAAGTTGCAGGCTGTTATAATGGCAGGAAACACTGGAGCAGACTTGAATAAAAACTTGAAGCTCATAACATGTAGATATTTTAACCTTTGACTGTCTCATACATCAAAGGCATTTTGTACTGTGGCATGTCTCACGTGTAATGCTGGAGAAATCAAAATGACTCCTAATTTCAAAACCTTGGTGAAAAAAATTTGAAAACACTGTACTGTTCCCAATACTGACATCACTACAAAAATACCCAAGCAACTCCAGAAGGAAGCGTCTCTCGTTCAAGCTACAGAGGACCTCCCGAGTCGGTGCTCCACGCCCGACCGCAGTGCGACCCTTTCACGGCCATCACAGCTCCGGCGAGCCGCTGGCCAGAGGGGGGCGCCCCGCCCCGGCACACTCACCTGGCCCAGGTCCATCGTGACGTTGACTTCGTTGTACTCCAGCCCGCTGGAGAGGGGGGGGCTCTGCCACCAGCGCTCCGTCCCGTCGATAGCGTTGCTCGCCGGGTGGGCGGTACTGGGGTCGTGGGAATTGCAGTAACCGCAGAACTGGCCCTGGAACAGGACGCGCAGAGTTCTGATCACATTTCTGATCACTTTCCACCGTGACAAACAGTCATGCATCCATGAAACATGCATATACTGTACGTCTCCGTTTGCAATAAATGGATCTCCGGCCTCACTCAAAGACCAGTAAGGTACAGTAGCATTCTCTCTGACTATGAGGCCAACAGGACAGTCACAAATATCTACGGTTTTGTGTGTAAAGAAAGTGGGGTGGGAATTTAGAGGGCTCTTTGCTGTTTAAACGATAATATGCAATATGCACAGCAGTATCATTATTTCTGCATAAAACAGGTTACAAATTATTTGCACAAAATGAATAGGGCTCTCCGAGTGAAGATAATATGAGAATGGTTAATAGAATGTATCTGGCATTTATTCAAACTTTAAATAAGACTTTTGCAGTATGCAACAATAAAGGGTTTAATCTCCTTGTAACACAAATGCCAGCAGCCATATCACTCTGCAACTCACAGCTGGCAGCCCACTGGAGCTCAACAGGTGTGAGCCTGGTCAGTACCTGGAGGAGAGACCTCCTGGGAAAAACTAAGGCTGCTGCTGGAAGAGGTGTTAGTGGAGCCAGCAGGGGGCGCTCACCCTGCGGTCCATGTGGGTCCTAATGCCCCAGCATAGTGACGGGGACACTATACTGTAAACAGGTGCCGTCCTTCAGATGAGATGTAAAAGGTCCTGACACTCAGTGGTCATTAAAAATCCCAGGGTGTGTCTAGAAAAGAGTAGGGGCGTTACCCCGGTGTCCTGGCCAAATTTCCCATTGGACCAATCATGGCCTCCTAATAATCCCCCTCTATGAATTGGCTTCAACACTCTGCTCTCCTCCCCACTGATAGCTGATGTGTGGGGAGCATTCTGGTGCACTATGGCTGCCGTCGCATCATCCAGGTGGGGCTGCACACTGGTGGTGGTGGAGGTGAGTACATATAAGTGTAAGCAATTATTATTATAATCAATAAAGAAACTAATATCTATATCAAATATAAATTGTACACAGCAAGTGTGTACCACTCACTATGGAATAACGGATAGAGCTTCCTCTCCTAATAAGTTGAAATTCGAATTATAGAAAAAAGCCCTAACAGTTCTTCAGAAATGACCACCTTTTGGCCATGGGCATTCAGTTGACTGGCAAGAGAGCTGACAATTGGTAACTGGTTGTAATTGTCAGGAGTCAACAAAGTCTCAGCTCCCACAGTGCAGAATCAGTACAATGCAGAAAGACTTCTGTAACTCATCATGGGCTTTTGTACCTTTGAGACAAATAACCACAACCACCACACAATTATTCTGTGAATTTAACCGCGACTTTACAAAAATAACTTGAAAAATCAGCACAGTGGTTAATGGTATAACAGAACCTCACCACACATTAGATATAGGGACTTGCCTCACAGTATGCAGTATTTTAGAATGTACTGTATATCTTACCTACAAACTCTGATAGAATTTAAAAGTGATAATTCATTTTGAGATAAATATTGGCAGCTGTAAATTGCCTATGGGTCTCTCTCCTCTCTGGGTTTTGCAAAATTGTAATGACTATATTTAGACAGTTGTAAAAAGCAAATAATACAATACTTTGAGACTTGAGGATGTTTAATTTTAATTCAATATGTCTGAGGAGCTTTTATTTCAAATTGATGTAGCAGTGTAGCATTAGAATTTAATTTATAGCTATTTTTTCTTTAGGTATATAGGTTAGTAGATGCTTTTCAATTAACTCTTGTGAAGTTGGAATGGTTCAAACAGGTTTCTGGAGAGCTATGCACATAATAAGAAAAGGAATGAAAATGTTAAAACAAGAACTGTAAGCCTAGTCTAAATTTTAAATATTTAAAGCTTCACCGCATTCATGCTTATAAATGATAAAATTGCAAGAACTGCAATTAACTTTCTAAAAAGCATTGAACCGTTGATTTTAATGACCACTGTTCTCGTGTATTGTGTCATTTTAATAGTCAGAATATTACTAAAATGCAAATCAGTTTCTCAAACAGGACCTCAATATAATAGATTTAGTACATTAGAATGCAGACAGATGTGCTTGTTCTAGAACAGCCTTTTACTGATATTTTAAATAACAATGAAGTTACCAATTGGTAAGTATTCACATGAAAACTTTCTAAGCCTCTACATCATCTCTCAGTCTCAAAGTTTCTCATTTTAGAAAGATCCTGACTACATTTAACCGCGGGACAATGTTACCTCGCTAACCATTCTCTCAATGTATAAGTCATTGCAAGCAAATATGAAAACGTGTTTTGCAGATAAATTGCTTTTCCTACAAACCATTCCCCAGTGAATAATGGTGTCGAAGCGCGCACTTGGTTGACATAACTTTACCTATTGGCACCTACTGTATCTGCGCACTGTACCGTATGACCGATAAAAAAATAAAAACTTCGGATGCGTACCTCATTCATGAAGGGAAAAGAAGTATGAAAACTGTCAAACGTACAGTACATGCACAAAGTACATGTCGTTACCGCTGGAGAAATCGCAGTCACGCAACGCCGCACGCTTTGAACGATACCTGTATCGTCTGGCTCGCCAGCCCCGCAGCTGGTCCCCCCACAAGCTTGCAGTAGAGCTCGGTCTTGGGCCTGCCAGCTTCATCCTCTCCGCAAGTCGCCGTGGCAGAGATCCGAGCCCCCTCCGCCAGGTTGAAGTACGGAGGGTGCAGACTGAACCCCGCCACTTCGTTCGCGGGGAGCTGAGCGCGCACGGAGTGGAGAAGAGCCAAAAATAAAGGGAAGAGCGGGGCGGCAGGTGTCGATCGCCTCGTCCTCCTCGCCATGTCTGACATGAACTTGATGTTCCCTTGACAGTGCTGGAGCCCCGAGCGCACCGCTCCGTTACCAGAGCTCCATTGAAGAGCAGCGCACACACACACACACGCACACACACACACGCACGCCGCAGGGAGAGCGCTCGCCCTCCGAACCTCACATGCCCGTCCGGACGCACGAACCGGACCCGGGCCTTTGAGCGATTCGAGCCCAAGGACTGCGCCCCAGTCCGGAGCTTTAAAAGGTGCTTTTAAAATAGATTCGCTGTTGCGTCTTATCCACCTTCAAAGTGTCATCTCAGGAGTATCGGGTATCAGCGTCCATGCCTATTCGAGACCACTGTGGTAAAGAAACAATATTCTGTCGGCTATTGAGGTGGAGTGCTGTGTACCGCAGTGCCCCAACGCACACACACACCTGGCGTTTGCGTCTGGACGCGTGTAAATGTTTATTCGGCTGGGAAACACTTCAGGGTGTAAATTAGCTTTACTTTTGCAGAACCAGAAATCAGTGCACGCATGAAACGTCTTTCACAAAACATACTAAATAAAGACTTTGAGGTAAAAATTTACTTGGTCGTATTTTTATCATTAACTACTGAAGTTTACTTCCGTTACATCTAGTATTAAGAAAATATTCATTATAATGATTATTAATTGGTTTTGTTGAACAACAACGCGTGGTTGCCCTCACTGGTACTGTTCTGAGGCGATATAGTAAATGATTTTGAATCACCGTTTGACTTTGCAGTAACCATTTTGACAACTATACTGTAATTTAATTAGTAAATTAGTCACATTTTAGTCGTACTGTTATTTATTGCTAAAATTATTTTCATTATCAAATTTTTTTAGACTTGTTTTCTGTAAAAAAAAACGTACTGTATGTAACAAGTCCTTAAATGCAAATAAAATATCAGAAATTATACTAGGCTTTTTCCTTTAAAGGTTCTCCTTCACAAACACGAGAGATTAGTCAAATTGCTTTTATTTCCTTTCCCTCGAATTCTGTGAACAAGATAAGCCTTTGGATGGCTTATTCAGTTAAACTGTACTGAAACCATGCCAACTATTAAAATCTAATCTCGACAGAAGTAACATGTTCTCATGTTTCCTTGCATTAAGCGTTAGAACTTCTCGTAGGTTTAAAGTTTCAGAAACCCTGGGTCTACGGGCTGCACTTCAGATACAGCGCAAATACAATCAATTTCAGGCAAAAGCAATTTCTAAAATATATTGATTAGAGAAGAAGAGAATAAAAGAAGGCTCAATTTGGTTCATAACAT